CACTGCTAGAACTTTCACTCCTAGAAGAAAGTCAGTAATAAAGCTAAATGAGAAACAAACAAACAAACAAACGAAGGGTTTCCTACAGAGGCCAAGATCTGGACAGAGCATAGGGTGACTAAGCCTTCTCTTCCTATTTGAACAGCTAGCCTAATGAGAATGCTACTACAGAAGAATCTAGAGTGTGGCCATTCAATGATGCCCTTGAGAGAGAAGTTCTTCCTACCACTCTTGGAAATGATCCCCTGGGATAGAACGATACTGTTTACTTCCAAAAATCGATGGCCATTCACAAACAGAGTGGTGTGAGAGACTGACCAGACCTCCTACTGTCTTCTTCTTCCCACTCAGCCAAAAAAGAGAATCTCTAGGGATGTGCATGATGCCTTCCAGCACCGAGCCCACCCATGGCGACAAGCCCACAGAGGCTGCTGAGGTAGGGGCAGGACGCCTACCTGTGTAGCCAGCCAGGGCAGCAGCAGGAATGACAGGCTTGTCCTTGTTGAGGTCAGCACGGTCACGCACATAGTCCTTGAAGGTGCCCTTGGGCTTGTGGTTGGGCAGGGCGGCTGGATAGTCCTCTGAGTCGAAGCTGTCATAGGAGGGGACGCGCTGCAGGCTGTTGAAGGATGACTGGCTGCTCCAGGACTGGGTGAGGCGGTCACAGCTATCGTAGCTCTCCACGCTCTCAAAAGAGTCCTGGCCCCCGAGCTTACCTGGAAGTAAAGGAGGTGAGAAGAGGGCAGGGGAGGAGGAATTGGGAAGAGAAAACTGTAAAAACCCTCTTAGTGAGGACGGATTGCTAATCAGACCTGCAGGAGGGATGGAAGAAGGGAGAGGCCAGTGGAAACGGAAGCTCAGGGGTTTACGCTGGGGAAGGGCGCCCCACGGGGCTGAAATCACGCTGCTCTTGTCTGTCAGAGAGAGATGGCAGTCTGTGGGGCCTCAAGATTCCTGGGGCCGGAAATCCAAAAGTGGAGAATCACACTGGATCTTACGGAATTTCCGGCTGACGTATTCGACTCAACGAAGAGATGAAGAAATCGCAGCAGTCAGGCTCAACTCTCTATTCCCACTCAGGCCAATGAGCTGATTTCAAAAGGCCCAATTTGGCAAAATATTTTGGTCATAAGAAAAAATATTCCATTAGACTAAGAGCGGATTGACCTTCCCTGACCTTGGAACTTAAGTGTTATTTTTTAGCATTTTTTTCCAAATACTATTTTAAAATGAAATCTACACCCTGCCTCCATGCCTTCTCAAATAGAGAAAGAAGTTATGAGATGCTTTTTCCAGGAGGTTAAAAAAAAAGAACCACTATCGCTCTTCTAAATAGAAATCCATGGTCTTCATCTTCTCCAAGTACAATTTTGTGTGTGAAATTTATACTTCAGTGGGGGAGTGGGGGCAATAAAACATAAAAGAGTTGATTGAAGGGTTAAGGTCCATAGCTATGTCAGAAATCCTTTACTCCATGAGTTGCTTAAGGCATTCTTAACTGACCACAAGATCATGCAAGTTCATTAATTTCCCAAACCAGGTTATAAACAGCTGCTACGATTGCGTAATAGCTCCTAGAGAAATTTCCATTGGCAAAAATGCCATGAAAAGGGAGACAAACCAAAAAAAATAAATAATTTGGAGGAAAATAAATGTATCTAAAAGCTGAAAAGCCCACAGGAATATTTTCTGTGTTCCCCTTTCAGAGACTTTTCAGGCAACCTAAATTAAATCACGGGAGACTCCATGACCGTCTCAGGTCAGCACAAGCCAAGAGGCAAACGGACGTGACAGACGTGTGTGTAGAAATAACAGGTCAACTCTCCATTGTTTAGGGGCGGCAGGTCTGCTATAAAGTTCAAATCCCAGAATACGGCTGGCCGATACAAGCTAATACTGGTGGGTTTCTGGCATATTCTCCCCTTCATAATAGTGAGGATTGGTTAAAAGAATGGAATTCAAATACTTAATTATGGTGTCCAAACCAAAATTAGATGTATAGTAATTGGGAGGGAAGATATGTTGCTCATAAAATTTAAACACGCGACCAAAAAAATCCACAATAAAAGGTATTCAGTTAAATATATACTTTTTGCAAAGCTACTGTTGTAAGAAGATTTCCCAAACCTCTTATCCCCTCCAGTGCTGCTGCAAACAGAACGGTAGGTATATCCACTTAATCTCATTCCTTCCTCGAGTCATCCGAAGAAGAGTAATCTCCAGAAGGCAAACTAGGAGCTCTCCATGAGTTCCTGGCACTGCCTACCCCACCCACTGGCATATCTGTAAGTTTTTTATTATCCTAACAAATGAAAGAATCGTCTCTTCCAGAAATTCACAGGAAAAGACTCAAGAAAACAGCCTACAACCGGAATCCAATAGCCTCTTTTTAACAGAACAAGGAAAATTGGCGGCGTCTCTTCAAGAGGTGTTTGCTGAGACCAGACACCCATCTTAATGGTCATTCAGGTTCTCCACAAGGCAAACACACCAACAGCTTAAGAAAGACAACTCATCTCTTCGTGGAGAACACCCAGCAAGTGACTGATACTTAGGCAGCATTTCTACCTCAATCCCTCTGAAACGATTCTCTATCAGTCACTTTTCCATTTGGAGGGCATGTAGACTGAACTTTCCAAAGCAGGCGAGCTGAGTTTTCAAGGAGCCCCGAGAAGCAAGGGCACGAAACTAGGCCATAACCACCCTCTGGCAGCTTCTCAAACATGAGCCAAATGTAACTCTGTTGAGAGTTGTGGTTTAGAGCAGTAGGCTGCTTTCATTTTAGCTCTATTTCACAATCCTGGAGCTGGGAACCTTCGTTTACGGGTATTTTCTCCAAAAATGGGTTGGCTCCAACTGGATGAGGCACTCAGTTATGCTACTGTGCTCAGGCAGGGAAGCCTGTGTCCTCTAAGACGCCCACTGGCTAGCTTCTCTGTGAACTGTCTCAGAGCAAGGCCTTCCAAAGCCATCTGACTCCACCAGACAGACCTCAGAGCACACTACGCAGCAGAGGGGGACCCTCACCAGCAACACTCTGGACAGACTGACACAAAGACAGTACTCAGAGTCCGAAGAAGGGGGACACAGAAGCGCTTTGTATCCTATAATGTGGTCCACAGATACTGTGATCATTACTACTAATCACCAGCCAACAGTCATGCTTTCTGTCTAACCAATCACCACGCGTCCGAGGGCAGGTCTGTAGGACCTCTAACATGCAAACAGCAGCCGTGAACAACAAGGGCTTCCTCTCCAGGGCCAACACCATGGTATGTTTGCTGTGAGGGAAGGGGAATGGGGTCAGAGAGAAACAACTCCTGCCTCTTTGTACAGGTCGCTATCTGGTCCCCAGAAACTGACATGGGGTTAGAAGGATAGTGGAGCCCCAAACCGAGGACCGAGAGAAGAAGAGAGAGAAGGGACGATCATAGAAAAGCAAGGCCAGGCACAATTTAGAAACAAGGTGACGGCAGAGCTCCCCGAGTGACACCATGGCTAGGCCCAACCCTCAGCCCTGGCCTCATCACATACATGCACAGAAAGCGCCGGGAGAAAGAAAGTAGTTTTGCTGCTTTGACCTGCCTGAGGAAAAAAAAAAAAAGATACACACACATGTGTGTGTGTGTTTAAATAGACATGCATCCAAAAATAAGAAAAAAGAGTCAGAAAGGGGAAGGCAAAACTGGTTCCACCCATCCCCTTCGGTCTGAGACACAAACACCCTGGGGCCCTAAGAAGGAAGACTGCAGGTTCAGATTTTGCTAGGGACTTTCCCTCTGCAGGGCCTGCCACTCTTCCTAGGGCCTGCTGGGAGGAAGCATGAGACTGACGCTCGAAGACGACAACGACGTTTATGGCCCCTGGTGGCTGCTGGGTGATTCTTCAAAGTAAAGATGTCTTTAGGCTCCACTCTGAGAGACTCAGAGGAGGAGAGCAGGGTCAACCCTGAGCAGAAATCCCTATGAGGCCTGATTCCCGTGACTAAAAGCCTCAGATCACCACTTGGATGAGCTCCTGTTCTCTCCCTGTCCGTAGTGTTTTCACCTTTATCCACTGGAAAAGTCTTTTTTTTTTTTCAACTCTCTAGAAATTAGCTAGTTCTTCCTCGATGAACAAATCCCTCCGTACAGAGGACTGAACCTCCCTCAGACACAAAGCTATCCAGGCACCTGAGGAGTCAGGCTGCGCCTCTGAGCATTAGTGTCCTGATCTTAAATTCAGGTGTACTAAACCTTTTTCTTTCCTTTTCTTTCTTTTTTCTTTTTTTTTTTTTTTTTACAAAGTCAGTCAGCTCTATTTTGAAACATTTACTTCACTGTCAGTGAATATTTTATCATTATCATAATGGTCATGTCAATAGGAGTACCTTCTTTTCGAAGCCTCTGGCGACCTCTTTCCCTGGTCCTTTAGCTAAATATACACTTTCACCACACTGCTGATGACTGGTTCCAAATAAACCGTTGGTTAACCATCTTGTATCTTCCCAAACCAGAGAAGTCACAGGAGGCTGGAGAGCCCAGGCTGAGATGCAGAGGTCATTCAGATAACATGCCCGGGTATGCAGTCTGACACAGGACGACTCTGAAAGGATTGCTAGGCTACATGGGAAGCTAAGGGCTTTCCAGGAGGGTCACCTGAACCATTCTTATTGGATTATGTCTTCCCCAAGCAAAATGCTCTCAAAGAAGATAAATCACACCTTAAAAAACAACTACCTTCCACTAGAGTTATCACTTAATGAAATATTTTACCCAAATGAGAAATGGGATTGGTCATCACGCCAATTCCACCATGGACACACGGTCTTTGTCATCATGGCGGACTGGGCCACACTTTCATGTTGGAAAGCTCTTAATATCTAGACATTCTAACGGAAAGGCTGAAACTCAGGAATATACAGGGCCAATAGCAAAGAAAAAAATAACGGGACCTGAAAAACTCACAAAGTCAGTTACATCTGAAAACCCAAGAGCTTCTAGAGAAGAAATCTGACCTACCACGACTGGTCCTCCCCATGCACATGTTGTCTGGGGTTACGACTTCTTGCTTGATGGCAAAGTAGTCAGTCTGCAAGGTGTCTGTCTGCAGAGGGTCCCGGAGAATGACCGAGGGGTAGTCGTTCTCATACTTGAGGGAGAGGAGCTCCTCCGAGCTGATGGGATGGAGTGTCTGGTAGGATTCTGTGATGAAGCTAGGCTCTGAGAACTCTGAGGGAGGAACGCACTGAGCATGCTCGATACCATAACCTGGAAACAGAGAACATGTGCCGTTGGAGAGAGGGCCAATTTGGACCTACAACAGGCAGGTCTTCGCCATTCACAGCAGCCCCACAAGACGAAAACGAGCTGACTACCTTAGAGAAGGAAAGGAGCATATTTTAGGTCAGAAGGGTCTGGGTGCTTCAGCTTGCTCAACTAGTTAACAAGAGACTTCCCTTTTCTGGCTTAATTTACACATCTCTAAAATAGGGATGATTGCAATCCCCCTCAGAGCGCTGTGAAGAAAAGCAAAGACTACGTGTGTAAAACGCCGGCCAACCCTTCTTGCTCTCACCATCTCAATACTTAATATCATTGCTGCTATTAGAATAAAAATCAAAAAAAAATAAAAAGGTAAAAGGAAAACAAACCTGCTCAAGACTCCGTTCAAAAGCAAGGCCATCAGATAAGAACAGCCCTACCCTAATCCGCTTCTTCTGGCCTCCTCTCCCGTAAGGTTAGGTATCGTTTACTACAAGGGAAAAGGCTTTACCTTCTGTAACAGAATCTAAAGCCACACGGCACACTCTTGAGGAAGGATCAGAGGAAATGCTGTCGTATCTACTAGTAAAAGGGGAAAGAACAAGGGCCACAACCAAATCCCTAACCCCAACCTCTGATGGCCACCATGGTACGCAGGATCAAGGAAGACCAAAGTTCAGGGGCCAAGTTGCAGTCCCTCTACATGACTTTCATGCTGAAGGTATTGGGAGAGATCCTGGTGTGTAGAGGAGTTGGCAGGTTAATAAAATACCAACATGTAAAGAGGTTGAAGCCTCGTGCCTCGGGGGAACAGCAAAATAAATAACAGAGAGGCCACATTGAAGAAAATGTTATTTTCCACAGAATTACCATGAAGGAGCCTGAGGTCATGTGGGACAGGAATCCTTTCCTAGGTTCCCACTACAGCAAGCAAAATGAGAGAAGAGCGGAAGACAAACTTACTAATGAAGTAATCCGAGGTATAGCGGGATTCTGGATAGGTAGGGTTGACTCCATTCACTTGATATGGTTTCACATCCTCTGTAACAGACAGGGCGGGGAACCAAAGAGAGAGGTCAACAGACAAAGTAACGTTTGGCCTAAAAGGACCTTGGACTCAAGGACTACAATGATCTCAGTCCCTTCTCCAAGAAATCGGCATGTTCATTAACTGAGCTGGTGTCTGAGTCTACCCTGACTGGGGCCTTGTCTAGAGATGAGATCACAAAAGTATGGCTAAGTCAATTATTTCAGTAGCTGCAAAATGGGATTTAATATCTTGGAAGCAGCACCAGTGAGTAATCTCTAAGGCCTGGGAAGGCATCCCACCCTCATTCTGATGCATGCTTGCTCCACGTTACCACGAGAGGCTTCAAGATGTCTTGGGAATTTACCCGAATCAGTCCTGAATGCTCGAACCAATCGGTTCCAAAACTTTTTTTGGAAATACATTATCATCTTTAGGTGGTTATACTTCAGGGCCTCCACTTCTAACAGATGTCTGGTTTTTGTGTTGTGTTGTTGTTGTTGTTTTTTTTTTTCCCATCACCCCCAGGCTCAGAGAAGAACAGGATACTGGTGAGGTGACCATTGGGTGGATGGATACGGTGGGGCTCACGCGAAGACAGAGAACCGTTATCACCAACTGCTGTTGGCAACCAGGTGCCAACTCCCCTTGGCATGAGAACGGAATGTAGGTGAGCTGAGGTGAGCTGGGGGATCCTCTCGTTACCCTGGAATCCAGTGGTGTGACCCCAGACATTGCATGGAATGCTCTGATTCTATTTCCCTGTAAGACTCAGACACACAGAAGGAGTGTTGGCTTGGGTTTTTTCCTCCGATATCTGATAGCTTGTTGGGAGCAGAGGCTGCTGGGAAAACAAGTTTATGCCTGTACAGAGAAAACAGTTCCCAGTGGAGATAAAATGATTAAACTCTGCTTTAGCCCCTTATCAGATTGAAACATCCCTGTCCCTTTGGCCTTCCACCCCACCCCAAACAGCTATGTTCAGGGGCTGTGTTGTTCTGGTTTAATTACAGAACAAAAGCTGTAGCCTCCACACACACCTAGAGCTGGGCTCTTCAAGAGTCTAAGGAGAAATGGTTCCTACCACCTTTCCCAGTAGCAAATGGGTGGGATGATAGGACGTTTTGTCCTCCAATATTCTCAATGACTTCCTGATCGGCCTACATTCTCTGAAACTGGTCCTTCGCAGGAAGGTAGGTCACACCCATCTTGGCGGCCCAGACACAGCCCTGAGAGTCCATATTATTATACAAAGAATGCAGGGCAGGAAATTAAATCAAAAAGACCAAGTTTAAGGAAATGAGCGATCTTGAGGAAACTACCTAATCTGCCCTCATTTTACAGATGAGGACACCAACAGCACACGGCCCTCTTATTTCACAGGGCTGTTTTGAGAATCCAATGAGAAAATGGATCGGAAAGCACTCGGGAAACAGGAGCTATGCTACAGTTATTAGTCATGACTGTGATCACAGGTACTCTGGCACACCTGGTCGCTCCACGGGGACAAATACAGGGAAAGTGCGTATTACTGGGATATATTTGGGTTACACAGTCTGGTAGAATCCACCGTTGTGTTTATACACCAACGGTTACATCAGCTCTGTTAGGAGCCTGCCCTGTCTTTTCCCTCTATAAACAGGTCACTCGTGTCAACACGTAGGAGTGGGTGTTGGAGCAGTTAACGCGGACAAGGCCTCGGGCCTTCGGGAAGCCTGGGCCCCGCCATCCCCAGCGGAGAGAGCCGCAGCAAGATTCACCTAGTTCTGGACTGTGTTTATTTATTTATTTTCCAGCGCAGACGCTGAAGAGAAGGAAGAAAGATAACACTTCTGGGCCCAGAGGAATCTAATTTGGGGCTCTCCTGAGCATTGCGGAGTGGAAAATATCCTTACACAAAGGAAGGTATTATATGGAAGAAAAGTGCTAATCCAGAGCTTTGCTCCCTGCCCCCCCCACCCCCACCGTGGCATCTGCGCCAAGGGTTGGAGCTGGTGACCACAGGGAAAGGGTGGGCCTGGGTCAGAGAGGGCAACGGGCTTCTAGGCTTACAGTCAGCTGGAGGGCACCACTGACTGCTGGTAACTGCAATTTATTTTAAGAAGAAATTTAGAAAAATAAGTGCAAAAACACCCAAGTTTGCCGCCTGCTGCTGTTTCTATACTCAGCCAGGACTGTGGTACATGAGTCACTTGGTCCAAAAAGGTTGGAAGAGGCTGGTAGGGGAGGCCATGTCATTACAAGGTTGCAACACGGTGTCCCGACCTAACCCCCCATTTGTGCTCCCGATGAAAAAGGTAGCCCACAGTGCGCCAATCCCTTCCCACCCTCCCAGGCAGGGGGCCAAGAAGCCAGTCTTAGTAAGTAGCTCTGAGAAGCGAAGCTCTCTAGTGGAGGTGGACAGGTATCACACTGCCATGGATCAAGGGACTGTGTATTAAGGGGCCAGGAGAAAAAATACAACCAACGATCTGTCTTGGGAGCTGGCTGCTGACCCTGTTCGAATAGCCCATGAGTCCAAGGTAAGGACTGGGATCAGAATTCCGGCTAGCAAAATGCCTCAGGAGTGCCATGTTGCAAAACATTAAAATCTGAACCTCCGATACATAAAAGAAAAAAACTGACATTTATTGAGCACCTGCTGCATTTATTGAGCACCTGCTGCATGCCAGCCAGGCGTGTCTCCAGAGACAGTATACGCCGTGATGGGACACCCACAGGTACTGGCATGGATGTCCCGCCCTCAGGTATCCTCCCCCACCCACCGCAGCAGCAACCCCACATGGCTTCCTCCTCACTTCCTCCCCACACCTTTACCTTTCTGCAGGATCTCAAGATGTTCCCACAAGATGTCCCCAACGAAGTCTGGGGCCAGCTCGAGAAAGCAGTCCTTCCCGAGTGCACAGAGGGCTGCTCCATTCATACAGAACTTCTGGAAGTCCACGCCTTTCAGGCTGAACTCATTCACGGCCCACATCACCCAGTCCCGAACATGGGTTTCTGTCCACTGCCGGGGGTCTGAGGAAAGAGATCAAATGAAGACCCAGCAGGTCAGGCTTTCCCTCGTGCCCAGGCCTCAGGGAGGACACTGAAGGATCTGTTCTTTGATTCACAGGTTTAGGAAGCACCAGCCTATAAAGGCATGTCATGGGGCACTCTCTATAACCTTCCCCCGGCCCCACACTCAACATCCCTAGCCTGCAAGCTCAGAGATCACGCCCATTAGCCAAAAAGTAAGATAGGAGTAGACCCCCACACCTCTATTCAGACAGAGACTGATGAACCTCCTCTCTCACAACCTTACTTTCATGAGGCTTTTTTTTTTTTTTTTTTTTTTAAAGCCCAGGACCGAGGAACAGAATGATGTCTTTCATAGCAATAAGAACAAAGTCAAGTGCGTTCTGGAGACTGCTCCCTCCTATCCCTGCTCTTCGCTGTCATGATTGACCTGAGATGTTAGAATTAATCATTTTTATCCTCGCTAATGATGGCTAGTCATAATCATAGCAACTAGTAATAGTAAGCCATTCAAATGGTCCTTAGTCATAACAGCATTATCAGGAACCTGATTTCATCATACCAGACACCCCGCAAGCGTGGAGCAGCATCAGAGAACAGACAAGACGTGCTCTTCCCGTGTGGCTGGAGTTGAGCACGACTGAACCAGCGTGGCGCTCTCAGAGCTCCGAGGATGGCAGGAAGGCTGGCTGCGGGGCTCACAATGCACCTGCTGCCCAGCCACACCCCACCCCCTTCAATCCAGCAGATGACTTTATGAGATGCTAGAAAACCCAAGCTCAATATTCACTTGATTCTGCTTTGTGCTAATAGGATGTTGGGCATTGCTGTCAGCCGAGGTTTGTGATGAAGCAGTATATACATGAGGAAAGGTTTGGAGGTACATTCACAGACTCTGTCTAAGATGTGGATGTGACTGGACTCGAGGCAGCAGACCCATCACTCTTACTTGAGAAAAAAGTGTTCTCTCTGCTCTCAGTTGCTCAGGAAATGTTGCCTGCTGGAGGCTTAAGTGTTCTCCAGTCATTTGTCCTTTCTGACAACTCCAGTCCCCTTACATCCCTGAACAAACCCTTTCAGAGGAGAACACCCATGCATAAACACATTTCACCAAAGCACATGGACAAGAGAAGAGCAATCAGTTAAATTCCAAGGAATGTAGCTCACTAAATTCATCCAGTGATGGCCCAGAATGACTCTAAGACTGTTTTCCAAGCTCAACTGTGCTCTGGAATTACCAGGAATTTCAACTTCATGGGCCTGGGACATGACCTGAGCTGTGGGATTTCTTGAAGTCCTGAATCTCGTGTGCAAACAACTTTGGGAACCACTGTCCAAGACCAAGATGGCAGTGTCAAAACCTGGAAGATGGGGAAGCACTGGCATGGGTCTACGATTGTTCTAGGAGACGTCTGCCGCCATTTCCAGGGGCTGACGGAAGTGGTTAGTCATAATGTCTATCTCACACTACAGCTGAGATAACTAACCTCACCCAAAAGTCTGATCCCATCCCTCTCTTCTCCCAACAACAAAACACACCTTTGGGAATTCCCAGGCGTTGCTGTTCTTTAGAGAAACCACTGAAAGTAGCTTTCAATGCTTGAGACATCATTTCTTTGCTGCTTGGAGTCAAGAGTGGGACATCAGCACATTCCATATCTGTAAAGAAAAAAATAGATGAATAATAAAACAACCCAGGTGACTAGACTAGACACTGTAGTCATCATTAAGTAACAGATACAAATATCAAATCATTATGTCGTATACCTCAAACTAATATAAGCTAATTGTACCTCAGTTTTAAAAAACTACTAGGTAGTTAACCACCCATAAAAGATAACAGGGCATGAATGGCTTGAAGAAGGCAATCTGAGAAATAACTGTACTAATGTCCTCACCAGGGCAGGTAAAATTTGGGGGGCTTTCCACAGTGTGCTACATCCCTAAAAAAAAAAAAAAAAAAAAACCAAACCAAAAATTTTAAAAAAATTTTCAAACCCCTTCACCAAAAAAAAAAAAAAAAAAAAAAATTAAAAAATGCTTACTCTTTCTGCAGAGCTTTACTAATTCAGTCATAGCCCCTGCTCAACCTTCACATTCACTGAGAGAATTAATGTTGCTACCTACTTCCATGAAAAGGAAATGACAACATTCATTCATTCAATACATCATCACTGAACACTCGCTATGTGCAAGGAATTAGGGAAGCAAGCAGTGAGCAGGACAGAAATGATCTCTGCCCTCACAGAGCTGGATATCAGCGGCTGGCAGGAGAGTCAGGCATTATAAAACTAGTTAATACAATTAAACATTCAAACACATCAATACGGGTTTCATAGGAGATGCAGAAGATGAGAGGTTAACATAGAACAAGAATTCCCGGAATTTTGGAGGACTCAGAAAAGGCCTCTCTTAGGAGAACAGAGATGCTTGACCTGAGATCTAAAACATGCATACTTGTTTAAAAAAGAAAAAATACTCTAGACCAGTATGCCCCAGGTGTGGTCCCCAGACCACCTGCATCATCATCATCATCACCGGGAAACTGTTAAAAATTCAAATTCTCAGCTCTGCTCCGGACCTCCTGAATCAGAACCTCTGGGAGGTGGGGAGGGGGAGCCCAGAAATCTGTGCTTTTAACACACAATCCAGGGGCTCCTGATGACCACCCAATTAGAGGACCATGGTCCTAGACAACGGGAGGAGCACAGACGAACTTTACGAAATGGGGGGAGGAGGGGAAATGTGGCCCATTTTCGTATCAAAAAGATCAGTGCAGTTGGAGCAGAGGAACCAGGAGGACAGTTGATTGAGAGGAGGTGGCAAAGTAAGCATGGGCTTTTTTAAGGCACCCTAATGGACATGAAGTGGTACCACACTGTAGTTCTGATTTGAATTTTCCTAATAACTAATGAACGTTAGCATCTTTCCATGTGCTTATTGGCCATTTTTGTAAATTCTCCGCAGAAATGTCTATTCAAGGGTTGTGCTCATTTTTAATAGAGTTGTTGGGCTTTTGTTGTTGTGTTTTAGGAGCTCTCGATATACCTGAAAGAGCTGAAGCAGGGTCCTAAAGATAGATTTGTATACCTCTGTTCACAGCAGCATTGTTCACATAGCTAAAATGTGGAGGCAGTCCAAGTGTCCGTCAACATATGAATGGATAAGCAAAGTAGTATATACATACAAGGTGGTAGTATTCAGCTTTAAAGAAGGGCATTCTGACATGGACTATGACATGGATGAACCTTCACATTATGCTAGGTGAGACAAGCCAATCACCAAAAGACAGATTACATGAGGTCCTTCAAATAATCAAATTCATGGAGACAGAAAGGGGAATGGTAGCTCCCAGAGCCTGGAGGGAGAAAGGGAATGGGGAGTTGTTATTTAATGGGAACAAAGTTTCAGTTTTACAAGATGGAAAAAGTTCTGGAGATGGATGGTGTTGATGGTTGTACAACGCTATGAATGTACATAACACCACCGACCTGCACACTTAAAAAGGGTTCAGGTGCTGAATTTTATGGCAGGTATATTTTATCACAATATAAAAATGGAAAAAGAGAGAGAGAGAAGATCACCTATTTGGTAAAGAACGGTTGAGCAGATAACTAGGAATAGTGGGAACACTTGGTAAAAAGTTCTTACAGTAGCTGTGGTGAAAGGGAGATGGTGATACATGTAGCATAAGAGGACGAAGTTGAAGTGCATATGTGAGGTAATATCTACCCTGAAGGTGGCGAGGAAGAGTGAAGGATCAAAGTCCGCACGTCCATGAACGTGTCATCCTTTGCGACATCCATCTCTATTTTTATCTCTACGTCCAATCCCTCTTGTAATCACAGACGATGTTCAAAGCAAAAATACATAAATATGGCTCAGGTTAAAAATCCCCAGTATTCACCTTAAGTACAAGTTCCCACAAAAAGCTCATGGGCAAAAAAAAAAAGTAAAACAAAAAACCAAAACAAAACCCCTGAGAATTCCTACTAGCCATGGCGTGATCTTAGGGCAGTGGTACACTTTGCTGTAGTAATTTCCAGAAGGCCTCTTCCTCACCCTGGGTCTTGAGGGTATCATATGAAACTGACTCATACAATGGCTGGGTTCCAGGCAATGCTGCCATTGGTGTTCCTCAACTAGCCATCCCGGCCACCTGACCAGTTAAAAAAAATTCCCTGGACATCTGTATGTGTACTGGCTGAATTAAATGGAAACACAGAAGGGAAAAGATGATGACTGGTGATCTCTGAAAAAAAGGAGCAAATAAATTGCCTCCAAACGTCAAAATGAACGGAAACTGCATTGCAAGAGAGAAGAGCGAGCACTTTCTCTCTGGTTTGCTTTGAGTGATGCCTTCAGGAAACAGCTTACAGTCCAGCTCTCCCCTAAAAGCACAGAAGGGCTCACAGCAGCTTCTCCCCAGGCCCTGCCACCGAGGGTAGATTTGAAGTTCTAGGGAGGGGAGAGCTTGGGCTGCCCTGGGCCAAGCCCAAAAAAAATCTAGTAATCTAGTGGAAAAATCAACATGCCTCCAGGAAGGTTGACAAAAAGATGGAAAATCCCAGATTGTTAAGAGGGAAAAATGGGGGGAGGGGATAAAATTTTGATTACATAACATCTAGCCCTTCAAACAATGGAGTAATCATCAAATGAGTCACCAAGAAAGACATCAATACTGCCCCTTTGTCCCCACTCTACACACCCAAGAACAGCCAAGTGCCAGGTCCAGAAATGTCTCCACTTAGAGTAGAAGTCGGTGTCACCTCAGAGAAAGGGACTTTTTATTTCACCTAAGAACATTCCTTTCGAAAGCATCCTGGCCTCCTAGCACAGGGCAGAACACAGGAGTCAATCAACAAATGTTTAGTGAATTCACTGTTTTCCAAATTTGAATCAACTTCCCGTCCCTTCACTCCTGTCCAACACAAATGCATGAACTTGAACTGTGTGGGTTTTGTTTTGTGTGTTTGTTCCCGCCACTGATTTATGATTAAATCAGTAAAAGAACTTTACTGATGGCGGAAATTGGCCAGGACAACACATGTGGAAAATACAGGCCGGGCCAAAAGCACAATGGTTGTGCTAGAGGCTGGAACTGAAGGATGGGATTGGCTAGGAGGCCCCACGCATCTCCTACATGGAAGATGCCAAGGGGATGTGAAGGCCAAGGATGACAGCAGAAAGCCTGAGAAAGAGGTTTCCTGGAGTCCTATAACCCTGCACACTTTGACAGTATGGTCTGGACGGGACCGCTGGCCTGACAACACTCCATGCAGGTTCCTGCTTCCTATTAGGGAACCAACCCTTCCAGGCTCTCACTCGCTCTCTCCAACAGAAGCCGCTGGAATACTTTTGCCTGTCTACCTCAATGCCATCTCCAAAAGCCTGGTCCCCATGCTGTCAGCTGCAGCTGCACCATGCCCATCAGCTCTGCCCCTGGCTGCTGGATCTCTTGGAAAAGTGCTCACAGCCTCACAGCCCAGCTGGCTGGCGAAGGCCAACCCCGCACACTTGGGACACCTGCATTTGAGCTCGATGAGCTCAGGAGAAGGCATGTTATTGCCCTTGGACACAAAGGATTCAGACAGGAAAAGTAAGAGCTTTTCTCCCTTGTTAAACAGCGGGGAGCACTGGTTTAAAAAAAAAAAAAAAAAAAGCAAACCCTCCCCTCTCTAAGTGAATGAACAATTAGCCAGGATTGGCTTTATCAGTAGTAGCCTGGGCATTGCATTTAAATGATGATGAATAATCATATTTGGAAGCAGACATTAATCTAAAAGATTAAATTGTCTTCACAGAAAATATGAACGCAAAAATTCCACCTATAGTGCTAGTTTGTAATCGCAGCAGTTCTGTTAATTACGCTGATTGACAACAATAACAAAATCATTACACAGGTGGAGAATCCGACCTAGTTTAGCCCAAACAGGCCTCTCTGTTATTCCTGCCACATTTTAGCTCATGGTCTGTTATAATAGTTTTGCATCAGGTACCAAATATTTCTAATTGGAGTGATGGCATGTAGAAATTAATCAACCCCCCATCCTGGAAATTCATTAACTGTATTTCATGGACAAGTACTAAAATTGCCTTTGTGTTAATATTTGTAATTGCAGTATCTTAAATTCAAATAACACATTTGTCTCAAAATGCTGAGAACCTGTCCTGAAGATATATTACCCCAATACAGTAGAGACTCTAAACACAACACATGGGAAACTGAAAACATTTATGAGCACATCGGATTTCCTACCCAGCGATTATCCCTCAGGACCCTAAATGTGAGTTAATATTTATAAGAATCACCCAAAGTTTCAGAGAAAAGAGTTGTACAGAAGCCAGTGAATGAGTAACAGGCCCAAACTCTCATCTTAGCAAGACTGCACAGTATCGAGTGGGAAACGAGCAGGTAGCACTCCCTGAATTAGTAGGGGCGTAATGAACCAGGGCCATTCTGAATGCATGGAAACATCTGCTCATTTTGCATTGTGGCCTGACCCTGAACAAAAGTTTATATGCAACCCCAAGATGTTTTAAGTCAAATGCAGAACGGTTTCAATTCAGTTATATGTAAGTCAAGGGTAAGGGCTGTTCAATGTCCAAGAACCTGTCCAGGATGTTTTCATGTGACTTTTCGTGCCATTCTGTTCAGT